GGGTAAACTTGGGGATGCTATTTCACCTATATACTTTTGTTTGCTCACCTATAAAATGGAGATAATGGTAATTTACCCGTTTTATAATGGTGTTATAAAGACTAAGTGATTTACTTGTAAAGTATTTAAGGTAATACTTAGAGCATAACACACACTCAGTAAGTATGAGGTGTTTCAATTCTTATTCTTAAGGCCCCTGCAAATGGTTTGTGGCTTAGCTACTAACCTAGAGGAAGGCAGTTCAAACCCATTCCGGGACACTGAAAGAAAGGCCTGGTGACCTGCTTCTGTAAAGATGAGAAACAAAGAAAACTCCATGGAGCAGTTCTTTCATGTAACATGGGGTAGCCATGAGTTGTAATCAACTCAATGGCAGTGGGTTTGTTTTTGTTTTTAATTCCCATTCTTGAAGTTATGCTCCCTGACTCTACCTGACTTCCCATTTTCTTTAACTTGCTCTGACCATGCTTTGTCTACAACTATAAGGTTTGTCAGCATTTACCAAATTCCTTCATCTTGCCAAATTCAATGATAAATTATCACTCTTCATCTTTCTTAACCTCTCAGAAGCACCTGACACAGTTGATCTTGTCCTCATTCTTAAAATACCTTCTTCCTTTGGTTTCCAAGATAACATATTCTTCTTGTTTTAATGGTTGCTCTCTCTTAATTCTCTAATGGATTCTCTTCCTCTTCCTGACTTCTAGATGTTGGAGTGTCCCAGGCTAGTTCAACTTACCCTAAGTAATCACATCCAATACCATGCTTTTAATACTACCAGCTGATTACTCTCAAATCATCTAATTAGTTTTGACCTTCTGAGCTCAAGACCCATATATCTAACTGATCATATAACACTTCACTTAGATATCTAAAAGGCATCTTAGAACCAACACGTCTAAAATTGAATTCATGATTCCCACATGAGGCTGAATTTGCTACTAATGTCTGACATCTACAAAGTAACCTTAAATTTTCTAAGTACTTTCCCAAATATTTTAAAGTATTATCTTTATAAAAACCCTGTTAGGACAGCAGGTATTAATTTCATCATCAGATGAACACGTTATGATTTTAGATATGAAGATTTTAAAATAAGCCATATTTAATATCTTACATAACCTAGGGTAAGAAATACAATACTAATCTCTTTATTCCTTCTATATGCTTTTTATTTTGTTATGATGCTTATCAAGTCATATTTTATTCTTTTGAAATGGTGGCTTTAAGATGAGTTTCCAAATAACAGGCAAAGGAGTAGACAAAATAGTTGGGCAAAGGAAGAAAGATAGTCATCATGTGTATTGGTCAACACACCTTTATAATTAATTTCTGTTTGCCAAATATTGTTTACATATGATCACTATGATGTTGTACAGAATCATTTCACTATTCTTTAGGGAGATCCCATTTTACTGAATTTTCTGATCTTCAGAAAGCAGGGAAGTAGTCCTGTCTGATCTTGAAATCCATAGTAGTACAATGATATTTATTTTTATAATGACAAAGATCATCTTACTAAATTGAAAACATTATGGTGTATCATTCATTAACTGATAGCTATGTAACTTAATTACATACAGATCTCCATATGGGATTCAGCAAAATCAAGAGAATACTAAATGAATCTTTGAAAATACATACTAGTTGAAAATGTACATGGTACTTCTTGGTTTTAGGTATCTCTTGGTTCCTCAATATACTGCATATATTTATGTCTAAACAAAGGAGCTATTGTTAAGATCCAACATCATAAAATAAGTTCATTACTTTAGATAATGGTATCCTATGATCAAATAGCTTATATTACTAAATTTGAAGGTTTCAACACTGTGGGAACCTGTAAGTAGATTTTTCCTAAGAAAACATAAAAACTATACTTGAAACATACACATATATACAAAAATATAGAATTTGAAGTCCGTTGAAAATTTATAGTATAGTAATTGTAAAACATTCCTGCAGTTAAACTCAGGCTTTACAATGAGAGATATTCTGAATTCCATTACCAATAGGTCAAAGCTATTAAGTAGGTAGAAATACCTGCATATTTAAAAAATGATCAGTATTTTAATCATTATAATGCCACCACTGATGAATACATCAACAAAGAATGGTGATTTATTTTCTGCTATTCTCTGTATAGGAAAGGGTTATAGAACATAACAAGGAACGATACTATATATAGCTCCTAAATCTGCAACATCATGCTTTTGAAAAGAAAAACCTTTAACTACTCATACATGAAAAACAGATCAGTGTTGTTACAGAATTACAGTGTATCATTAACAGATCTGTAATTTTGTAATAAAAATATTTTCAAAGAAAAATATATGGGATATTAATGCTAAAATTATGAAGACATGAAAATAATCCTTGAGAAACCTTGAGCACTCTCTTCGTAGAATCTTTTATACTCTTCTGTGACATTACTCTCTAGTAGTTTTTGCCCTTTCTTCATGAACATTCCTTTTTGGTCTCCTTCATGGGCTCCTCTTTCTCTGCTAAATCTAAAATGTGAATCTTCTACAAGTATTGTCTTGGCCTAATGTTCTTTCATCTGTAGTGTTTGTGGGCAACCTCTGTGCTTGACCCACCGACCTTTTAAATAGCAGCCAAATGCTTTAACCATCGGAGCTATTTGGACAACCTTAGCCATGTTCATGGTTTTATGCATCACCTAAACATTCTAACTTCCAGATTTATGCCCTTGGTATGGCACTATCTTCAGAAGTGTTTATTTAAATCTGTTCTCAACATTTTCACTTGGATATTTCATAAACATTTTAAATTCAAAATGTCTTAAATTGAAGGACTCACCCTTTTCTGTCTTCCAACTTGTCTTATATTTTCAGTATCTATTAGTGACATGACTATCAACTAGGTGCTGCAAGTCAGAAATATGGGAATAAATCTTAAAATTCACTCTCCTTCACTAAACCACATACATACAACCAGTCACTACAACCAATCAATCAATCTGATGGACTCTGCACGACCTGGTCTTTACTTATCTGTCAGCCACCATCTTTAACCACATTCTCTTTAACATTTTAGACAAAAATTACTCTTAATTGCTTACCATTTCTGTATATATCACACCTCTATGCCTATGTTCACAATGGTTTCTATCTGGACCAGGTTTCTAATTACTCTTTATCTGGTTAGCAGTTAATTGTCTTTAGGGCCCCAGATCAGGTATCATTTCCAGGGATTAACTCCTAGAATTCCATGTTGGGCCAAGAAGCCTCATTCTGAGCATCTAATGCACCTTCTTTGTAATTCTTGTTGTTGTTGTTGTTATGTGCCATTGAGTCGGCCCCGACTCATAGCGACCCCTCCTTGGGTTTCCGAGGCAGTATCACTATGGAAGTAGATTGCCCAACCTTCCTTCCGAAGAGTGACTGGTGGGTTTGAACCGCCAGCCTTCTGGTAAGCAGTCAAATGCCTAAGACCTTGAAGCATTCTGTTTACATGTCTGTCTTCTACTAGACATAAGCAACTCAGAGCTATAAAGGATTTCTTACTCATTTTTTTTCTCCATGTGTCTGTCACATAGCAAGTGTACAACAGTTAAACAACCGAGTGGATGGAATTGCTTATTTAACTTAACAGTACATGTTATCTAACTTGCAGTCTTATCAATGTCTGCTTTTAGGTTCTTAATGCTTGAAAATGTTAATGAGAAAATGTGAGGAAAAAAAGTACCATTCTAACAGATAGAAAAATACAAAAACAAAACAAAAGGCCAACACCTATCATATTGGCACAATACAGTTAACTATGTATAAATTTCAACAATTTGAAATATCATAGTTTAAATATGATTGTTTTGTCCATAAATGAAAGCTAGAGTTCTACATTAAAAATGTAAAATAGTATTTTAAATCACCAAATGAAAAATTCCTACAACAATAATCACATTAAATATAGTGAGCTACAACCAGGATATAAAGAATAGTTATCAAATAATTATTTCAATACAATATTATTATACAAGGCTCATATTCCAAAATCATTATTGTAGTTTGAACAATCAATTAGCCGGGTCCAGGAATTAATGTACTCTTAAATTCTGTTGGATTTATGCCCTGACTTCTGTGTACAAGAACCCTAGTATGCAAGCAGAAATTAGATTTAATCCAGTTGCCTGTAATTTATTTGCTGTAAAACAAACACGACATTATATGCTTTCACTTGTTTGCTAAGTAGAAGATATGCTATTATTTCCAAGATTCCAGGGATTTAACGTTTAATTATCAACACCCATTTGAAAAAAGCCACTGCTTTGACTCACAAATTTCTTAATTGCTAACAGTGGCGTTTCTGAGTAGGAGTGTTGTATGTAATTTATTTTTGCAGATGTGATTTAGAAACTGAATTATAAAGTAGCAAAGCTTTGAACATCTTCACTGTCAGCAGAAAATCCCTCCATCCTTGCTGCTGGAGACTTACTGCTTGGAGTTTTAACAAGGAAGTAAAAACAGCAGTGAGAAAATTGCTATTACTGGTAAGTGTTGCTTACAAACTGAAAAGGAAGTCAGGCTGTCAACAATAAAAAAGCTATATTGTTCATACAAAATATGAGATGTCATCATCACAGGGCGTGCTGAGAATGAAAATTAATTTGTCTGGTTCCAACTTGAGGAAAATAACAGAAACTTACAAAGAATGTTACCTAAAGAAAAGCAGATTCCAAAGATCAGTGTATCTTTACAAAGTATCAGCAACTGATAATCAGGGGTACTACAGCTTAACTCCCCCTGAGGAGAAAAGACGCACACATTTCAAACAAAAACAGTGTTTTGAAGCAGGTTCTCTCCTCACTGAAAAATAAAGCCAGTTTTACGTTTCAGAAGATTAACTTGTTTAAAGCGCCCTCCTTCCTCTGGAAATGGTACCATCAATCACACATTACTGTAATAAGAGAAGTAAGAGAAAGAATATGTATTTTAATGACAACACAAATATGAAGTCAAAAGTAACATAAAAATTCCTACCCGTTTGGCTGAGCTGAGAAGCGCTGCGGCTTTTCCTCGAGAGACCAACAATAGCTACCATTTTGGCCCCAATGCTAGAGCGCCGCTTTTTGCCGCTGGTGCCCAAGGCGCCCACTGCAGTGTCAGACTGGCTGCCATCATTCTTCTCTAGTGAGCACATGTCTCCACTGATGCTGGTGCTTTTAGTCATGTTCGTCCCTGAGATGCCCATTTGTCTGCTTTGCATTTTGGATGTAAAGACACTGTCAGCCGGTGGATCGATAAAAAGTGAAGGACAGAGTAAAAAGGAAGAGACAGAAAAGTAAATTTAGATGAAACATTTGGGGTATAATTAAATTGTACCATCTATGAGACATATCTTTAGGATTGGAAAATTTTCAACTACCCTGGTCTTGAGTGTGCTTTACTCTCCAGGGCCAGCCTTAATGCAGGCATACAAAACCAGAGTTACCTCTGCTGGCAAAAAAGGCATGAAGAAGACATGCACAGAAAATCAGTGGACTCATTTAAAACATGCTGTCTTGCGAGTGCAAATACGCTGTGAGGCAGCCATACAGCGGAAGGCAGATGTTTCCAAAAGCATTAATCTCTAATGTGCTTGACTATTGCTTTCCAAAAGAAATCAGACGTGGGAAATTTTTACAAAAATAAAAATAAAAATAAAAAAGGCAAAAATTATATCATCCATTGGTAAGAGTGGCCCTTCAAAATAAATCGTCTCATTTTATGAAACGCAACCCAACCCAGTGCTATCGAGTCGATTCCAGCTCATAGTGACCCCACAGAGTTTCCAAGGCCATAGGTCTTTATGGAAGCAGATTGTCTCATCTTCTTCTTGTGGAGCAGTTGGTGGGTTTGAACCACCAACCTTCTGGTTAGCGGCAAAATGCCTTACCCACCACACCACCAGAGCTCCTTTTCATTTTATGAAAAAACCTATTAAAATTGTTCTAATCATGGTAAAATGATCTAATAGGGATTGATAATTTTCATTAGCTTTGAATTAAAACAATTTATTTCACTTGGCTCAACTTTCTGTATTTTGCTCTAAATCTTGCTGGTTGCCAGAGTCAATTCCAACTTGTGGCGGCTCCATGTGTGTGGGAGAGGAATCACGCACCACAGGGTTTTCAAGGTCGTGACCTTTCAAAAGGAGATAGCATGTTCTGTCTTCCCAGGATTCTATAGGCAGGTCTGAACTGCCAACTGCTCAGCTAAAAGTCAAGTGCTTAACCGTTTGTGTCACCCAGGGACCTTGATCTATATAAATCTATATTCCAAAAATACAGGAAAGATTTTCTTCTTGTGTTCATTTGAAAGAAAAAAACTCACTCTCAGTTTCCTACATAATGTGCTCAGGCAGCCGTCGATGAGTCACCAAAGCATGGAAGCTGGTCTACAACCTACAGCAAAACTAACTGCAAACAGAGCGATTACAGGAAGGACTCACAACCTACAGCAAAGACTAACTGCAAACGGAGCGATTACAGCAAGGACTCACAACCTACAGCAAGACTAACTGCAAACGGAAGGATTACAGGAAGGACTCAGGGGATTACTGGTGAGTGGTAGGACGGGGAAGGGATAAAGATTCTGGAAGCAGGCTATCCAGTGGGCCCTATAACCCAGAAAGAATGTGAAACAGCTTACTTGCTGGGATGGGAAGAATTACTTATATATCATCAACATTTGACTGAATATTAAAAAGTCATAGTTTCTGCTTTAATCTGGTTCTGATAATGTGACATAACTATAGTCATAAAAGAAAATAAAAATCAAGAGAACATTGTCACTACCATTGAGTAGTGACTCATAGTGATCCCCCCTTGGGTTTCCGAGGCAGTATCACTAAGGAAGTAGACTGCCCAACCTTTCTTCCGAGGAGTGGCTAGTGGGTTTGAACCGCCAGCCTTCTGGTTAGCAGTCAAATGCTTTAGGCACTATGCCACCAGAGCTCATATCCTTACATGTCATTTAAAGGACAAGAGTTAGAAAACTATCTTACCAAGATGAGCTCTTGTCTCTAATTCAATTTCTTTTTCTCCCTGAAATTTCTTTTCCTATCCTAGAATAAAATCTGTTTAAAGCCTAGGACTGTATGTTAGTTTAACTAACCAATTTACATTTTCTCCAAGTATTTAAGAGAGGGAAATCCCAGTGTGAAACTTAACAGAAGAAAATCCAGTGAAGTGCACCCCTCACATTGGTCTTAAGAGGGAGGGAGGCAAGAATAGGCTAAAGAGTCCAGAAAGAATGGTGTACATGCTCCTCTAATGCCCGGAACCGGTCACTGTCAAGGCCTGTCTGTTTATATTCTTCTTTAAGAGCACCAGCTAGGATAAAACAGAGAATGCTCTCCATGCAAACAGACCTGGGCTTGAATTCCTACTTTGCTGTCATTTGCCTGATTTACTATAAAAGACTTATTTACCCTAAGTCGCAGGTACAAAGAGCTAACCAGACACCCTATCGCTGTTATAACTCATTTGATTGCACTAGTGGCTAGTCAACGTGCAGATGTCTGGATCTTAAAGTGCCATTCCTTGAATGTTGGCATGTTCCTGGCAGGAGAATACACACACACACACACACACACACACAAACACTCTTGATCCTTTAAAGTTTCTCTCACTTAATAGTTTTTTCTATATTAAATATTATTCCTTTTTAAAATATGGAATTTGAAATTATTATCATCTTAAGTTACTATTTAGGAAGCTTTATTTTACCTTGACACAATCATCTAAAATTTTAGGCCAAGCAAGTAGTAACCATTTATTCAACAAACATTTATTGAGCACCTATTATCACAAATATGAGGATACAAAGATGATGACATATAAGCCCTTTTGATTAATTTACCAGCAAATATCAGCATGTAAAATGCAAAAGTAGCTGCATATGAACTTAGTGTTGGTTTATAGTTGAAATTCCAGTTTACCAGCTGTAATGTCCAGGAACCAGGTAAAGTTTTGATAAAACATTTCTCTCTGAAAGTATTTAAAAACTAAGTTTCTGATACTAAGTGATTTCTGGAGATGACACAAATGTAAAGTTTGATAAAACATTTCTCTCTGAATAGTATTTAAAAACTAAGTTTCTGATACTAAGTATTTGATTTCTGGAGATGACAAAAATGTAAAGTTTAGTATTTTCAACGTTACCATAGTTATGTATATAAATGCATTGCATTACTATTATGTATTAGTGCAGTGACTAAATGTATTAGAGTGTGTGTTTACATGCCACAATGTTAACATTCAGAGTTAGGGAGGAATACTCGTGTATTAGAAAACAAGTATGCTTAGTCAAAAACATCTGCCTTGATTATAACCTTAATAATGAAGCTATGTTTATGGTTCTGAAGTCTCCTGGCGGGAAGCAGTGCCGTGGTGGTTATGGAGCCGGTTGTTTCTTACTTTGGAAGAGTTGGCAAGCACTAGGGAGCCATAATCTCCAAAAGTGCTCTTCCAGCAGCATGCCAACGCCTAAAATCCTACCGTAACAGATCCTTACTTCTTTACAAAAAAGGTTTCTTTCTTTGGTGGTTTGTTCCTTTTTAACATGCCATCACCACTGGGATTTGGCCATTCACTTAAAATATGTTCACTTTATTCCTACTGTCTAGCCAGTACTGTTCTCAGAGTTAGAGGCAGAAAGCAGGACAGAGAAAGCCCCTGTTTTCATTCAGTGGTGGGGAAAGACAAAGAATTACAGACAGTGGTATGTGAGCTGAAGGTATGTGAGCTGAAGAAAATAAGGAGGGATAATATGAGAAAGAGGGACTGGGAAATTTGAGAAAGGGACAACAATAAATAAGGTGGTCAAGGAAGTCCTCTCTGAAGAGGAGACAATGAGCTGAGTCATGTGGATGAAGAGTGTTCTAAGCTGTGAGGAGAGTACGTGCCAATACCCTGAGGCAAGAACAAGCATGGTATTAGAGAAAACTGATAAAACGATAACGTAGATGGAATGAAGTGAAGGTGAAGAAACCAACATAAGATGAGGTCAGAGACAGGGAAGTCCTAGATGCACTAGAATAAAATATGTCCTACATGATGTGCCCTTCCTTAACTGCCCGTTAGTTATTACCTCAAAGCTGCCTTAAAGACTGTGAAAACATACACAGCATGAGTGACTGCACCAACAGACTTGGGATCCAGCCCAACAATTGATCTCTAAAGGTAACATCAAAGGACATTTTGGAGAGAAATGGCATTTTGGGAAGAACATGGTAATTTTCCATAAAAAGTGACAGATTTATGAAGGCTATTTCATTAAAGGAATTAGGAGGATTGTTTTATTAATTGAACCAAATCATTGAACAGTAGACCTCTCTCTCATGAAACAGTTTGAAGAAAGTTACTTTAAGAAAAAATTCAAACATATTACTTTACACATCTTTTTCTCACTCTGTTTATGATTCACTGCTCATGGTTTCTATGCATTTATTGTAAATCCTTATAATTTTTAAAAATACATTTTATTGAAATATAATTTACACACAGTGAAATATACAAAACTAAAGTGACATAGGTCAATGAGTTTTTTTTTTTTTCAGTGTTCCCAATTCTTACAATTTTTAATGTCTTTTTTTATGTTAGTTGGATTTCTCTAGACTCCCTCTAGCTGTGGGAGCTCTGGTGGTGTAGTGTCTAAGGCATTTGACTGCTAACCAGAAGGCTGGAGGTTCAAACTCACCAGCCACTTCTCGGAAGGAAGTTGGTCAAACTACTTCCATAGTGATACCACCTTTGAAACCCAAGGAGGGGTCATTATGAGTCAGATCCGACTCGATGGCAGTGGGTAACCTCTTTTGTTGTTAAAAACAAAAACTGCATTTAAAATTTGCATAACTGTCACTTGTTTTCACTGGTCACTTAAAATAAAAATTTATACAAGAATTAAGATTTTAAAATGTTTTTATTCTAGCATGTATCTTGTGAAAGCTTTATTTCTTCTCTGATTTTAGCTACTTCTTAAAATGGGCCTCAGTGACATGACCTAATTTCTATTTTTTTTCCTCACTGACTTTAGGCCTGTAAATATTTCTGGACTCAGCTAATATGAACTATAGTAAACATTCTTGCTAATAATTAATTGACTTCTTTAGCAACATTGACTGAGCACCTACTTGATTTTAGGTTCTAAGAGAGCCAATGTGGAGCTGAGATGGGGGCCAGGCTCCATTCTCCTGCATCATGGAGCTGAGTTTAAGAATGCAAATAAAAGCAGAAATGCT